GTGCAGGGAGAAGGGTGCAACAATGAATGAATGGAATTCCAAAATCTCTGTAGATGTTCATCGAAATGAAAAATAAACAAACTAAACTAAAAAAAAGAAATGAAATTACAGAACCAGTCCTGCCCACTCCCCTGTGTCCATCTCTGATGCAGTGGTGGCTACTTCAGGAGAGTCTCATTTGCTCAGTTGACCCCTTCTTGTCTCCATGTTCTCAACTATGAGAACGCACTCTGTGCTCCCAGACCCTCGCTCAGACTCTGCCCTGTCTCAGTGGATAGAGACAGTGATATTTAAAAACATTTTACCAGCATGCCAACCATGCCGATGAGAGGGTTCACGTGTCCTTGGTCAGTTGTCTTACAGATCTTCCTGGCTGTGGCTAATTTTGAACCAGATGAGAAGGGCCAGGAGTTCTCCGTCATTTACAAATGGAGCCACCGAAAGCTGAAGTTCACCCCCTACCAGAGGATCACCACCCACAGCGCCCGCGACTGGGAGGCCTTCCAGGTGGACGGGGAACACTTCCTGGTCGTGGCCAACCACCGGGAAGGTACGAAGGCATGAGCTTTGACCCAGAGAGGAACCGGTCCAGGGGCAAAGTATAACAGGACCAAGGGGTTCATTTTATCCCATGCAAAAGTGGTCATAAATTGCATCTCACCTATTAGCTCATACTCAGCTTGAACTACCTGGCAGCTGGGTCTAATGTGAATGCAGGTGACCACAGGCCCACCTCCTCACTTACCTGTAGTTAAGGAGACAGATGTGAGGTCCTGTACCGTCCCTGTCCACAGGAACACCGGCACAGACTGCTTGCTAGCTGCCCTTCTCATTTCAAACTGAAATCCTCCTCCACACAGTCAGATGGCAATAAGTTAGGAGAAGTTAGGATATCTGAGCAGCAGGCCCAGGTTGGTTGGTAGGGAGGGCATGCTGGGTCCATGGCTCTAGAAGAACAAGGAGACCACTGCCAACCAACCGTGTTTCCTTGAGAAGGATCCTTTCTGCCTGCCTGCCTATGGTGCCTGTGGCACATGCATTTGAACTCAAACTCTATGCTATACTCAGGGGCATGGTGGAGAGTGAGGCCCAAGGGGCACTAGGAAACCTGGTTTCTGGGCCAGGACTGCCCCTGAGTGACCTCCTCAGATCTTCCACATTGCTGATCTTTGCTTCCCTCCTGTAAGTCCCAGGATTGTTAGGTCACCTTTTCTTGTCTTCTTGACCTGTGGGCCATTATCTGAGTTTGTAACCTGCAGGTCTCAGCCACTCCACTCATGGGGCAGAGGTGGGAGCCAAAAGCTTATAGAGCAGTGCTCCCCTGAGTGAGTGCTCCCACAGAGGCAGGGCTGCCCCCCCACCCCCACCCCCAGGCAAAGGCAGCAGTGTGCGAAGCCTGGCCTTTGAGGAGGACTGAGAGCAAAAGAGGGTGCTCAATCACAGGAGCGGGTGGAGGCAGGCAGGGCCCCCACCATCCAAACCTGGGAAACCGTGGAAGGCTCTGGACATCTCAGAAGGAGTAAAGCCCCTGGAGATTTTCATCAGGGAACAGTACTTGTAAAAGCCCAGAGGTACAAGGTGGGGTCTTGGGAAAGGGAACACATTCTGGGTTGGAGACTGAAGGATCAAGAAGAGGCAGCTTCAGGGTTGAGTGGGTCACTTTTCCAAGAAGAGGCAGCTTCAGGGTTGAGTGGGTCACCTTTCTACGCAGCCCAGGGGAGGTGGCATCATGGATGGGGAGGACGCATCTCAGAGTGTGTTCTCAGGTGGGCTTCTCTGCACCTCATAAGGCTCCATCCCTGTCCCTAACCACAGCATCTTGCTTCCAGGTGACAACCACAACATCGACAGTGTCATCTATAAGTGGAACCCGAGGACCCAGTTCTTCGAGACTAACCAGACCATTGCTACCTCCGGAGCTTATGACTGGGAGTTCTTTACTGTGGGACCCTACTCCTTCCTGGCCGTGGCCAACACTTTCAATGGCACTTCCACAAAGGTGTACTCCCACCTGTACATCCGGCTCGTAGGCTCCTTCCAGCTCTTCCAGTCTTTTCTGGTAAGAAACTGCTACCTTTTACCTCACATCTATCACCAACATTCACACCTCCAGAGACCCAAAGAGATCCAGGACCAACAACAGGTCTGGTTCCTAGGCCAGAAATGAGAATAAACAGGACTCTAGACACTTGTGACTGCTTTAAGTGTTTCAGTCGGAGTTCTCTAGGGAAGCCGAGTTCTGGTGGAGTAGTCCGTAAGGAGTTGCCCACTGGCTCACAGGCCGCTCCTGACTGGTGATTCGATTCAGCTATGAGTCACTTCAACTCGATGGCAAGGATATATATATGTGTATACAGATATATAGATTTATATCGAGAGCTCTGGTGGGCTAGTGGCAAGAAACTGCACTGCAATCCCTAAGGCACGCAGTTCGAGGCCTCGAGCTGCTCCGCGGGAGAAGGATGGACAATCTCCTCCTGTGTGATTAACTGCCTCCGAAAACCCACCAGAGGATCAGCTACAGGTCAGTTCTGACTCTACAGTACACAACAGCAACATATAGACAGACAGACAGACAGATAGACAGACAGAGGTCTAGTGAATAGAGAGTCACAATGCCAACCCAAAGCCTAGCTAACAGTTTTAATCCATCAGCTTGCTCGGGGGGAAAAACAGGCAGTCTCTTCCCAAGTGATTTATAGCCTCTTAAAACTGTCTAGACAGTCAGCTATGAATTGATTCCAACTTGACAGCAGTGTGTGTGTGTGTGTGTGTGTGTGTGTGCATGTGTGTGTTATTGTTGTGTATCACTGAGTTGTAACTAGTCCACAGCTGACCCTCCAGCAGGTTTTCAGAGGCAATTACTCTATCGGGAGAGACTGCCCATCCTTCTCCCAAGGTGCAGCTGGTGGATTCAAACTGCCAGTCTTTGGGATTGCAACGCGGCTTCTTACCCCTCGGCCACCAGAGCTCCCAGCAAGACAGTAGATAATCTTCTCTCTCACTGACCTTCTTTTTATTCAAATAGGATGTCTTTTAGAAGAGCTGGTGTCTCCTGACAACATGCCCAAACTATGTGAGAAGAAGGCTCACCATTTTGCTTCTAAGAAGCACCCTGGTTGCACTTCTTCCAAGACAGACTCATTTGTGCTTTTGGAAGTTCATCATTGTTGTGTCTGTGTGCCATACAGGCAACTGCAGCTCATAGTGGCCCTATATGTACATCAGCTTTGATGCCTGCCCTGTCCTGAGCCACTCTCGCTAACTCAAACACACCTACCCATATTACCCTAGTTACTGCATCACTCCATCTCATCTGGGGTCTTCCTCTCCTGCGCCATCCCTCCACGCTTCCAAGCATGATCTCCTTCTCCAATGACTGGTCCTTCCAGGCCATGTGCCCAAAGTTTATGAGATAGAGCTTCAAAATCCTAGCCTCTAAGGAGAAACTTGGTTTCACCCTCTCCAAACAGACCTGTTTGTTCTCTTGGCAGTCCACAGTATATTCAATACTCTTGTCCAGCACCAGAGCTCAAAGGCATCAATTCTTCTCCTGTCATCCTTGGTTGTTGTTCATCTCTCTGTTGCACACCAAGTAATTGTGAAGATCATAATCTGGATCAAGAATACCTTAGTTTCCAGACTGACATCATTGCTCTTTAGCTTTTAGGAGAGGTCCCTGAGAGCAGACTTCTCCAATACAATTTATCTTTTGATTTCCTGACTGCTGGCACTAAGAATGTTGATTGTGACACCAAGCAAGTTAAAATTGTTATCACTCTCAATCTCTTCTCCATCCATCATCGTGCTGCCAGTTGGCTTAGTGATGAGAATCTGTCTTCTTTTTTTTTCTTTTCCACTACTTTATTTATAAAATTCAAATATAAATTCTAACAGTCTTTCTATTTCCCCATCCCCCTCCACCCATCAAATTGTACAACCTGATGATTAATCCCTCCATCCCCCTGCACATCCTCATCCCTCTGCTTCCAGCCTCTCCCACCCCTCTTGGATCCTTAGACTTATTCTACAATAACGGTTTTATACAATATTTATCCTTGTGAAACTGAGTTAGTTCACTCAGCATAATGTTCTCCAGTCCCTCCCAAGTTGTTGTTGTTATGTGCCATCCAGTTGATAGCAACCCTATATACAACAGCCCTAAACCCTGCTCTATCCTGTACCAAACGCACTGCCTCTGACACACCCATCCTGATTACCCCAGTCACTGAATCAATCCACCTCCCAGAGGACCTTCCTCTCCTGCACTGTCCCTCCACTCTCCCAAGCATGATGTCCTTCTCCAAGGACCGGTCCCTCCTTACAACATGACCAAAGTATATCAGATGAAGTTTCAGAATCCTTGCCTCCAAGGAGCAGCCCGCTTTAACCCTCTCCAGGATGAATCTGTGTGTTTTCTTAGCAGTCAACGGTACCCTCAGCACTCTTCTCCAACACCGAAGACCAAAAGCATCAATTCTCCTTCTATCCTCCCTGGTCATTGTCCAGCTTTCTGACGCATAACAAGTGATTGCAAAGACCATGGCCTGTACCAGACACACCTTAATCTCCAGATACACATCGTTGCTCTTGAGTACTTTAGAGAGGTCCCTAACAGCAGACTTTCCCATTGCAATACGTCTTTTAATTTCCTGGCTGCTGGTGCTAAGAGTGTTAATTGTGGAGCAAAGCAGACTAAAGCTGTGAACAATCTCAGTCTCTTCACCATACACCCTGATGCTGCCAATTGGTCCAGTGGTGAGAATCTTTGTCTTCTTGACATTGAGCCTCAATCCATATTGACGGCTGCAGTCCTTGATCCTCTGCAGCAAGCGCTTCAGGTCATCCTCAGTTTCAGCAAGCAGGGTTGTGTGATCTGCCTAACATAGATTGTTGACAGATCTTCAACCAATCCTGATGCCACATTTCTCCTCATAGAGCCCAACCTCCCGGGTGATCTGTTCTACATACAGGCTGAAAAGGTATGGAGACAGGCTACATCCCTTATGTATGCCCTTCCCAATTTTGAACCATGCAGTGTTTCTCTGCTCTGTTCTGACGACTACTTCTTGGTTCAAGTATAAGTTTCTCATTAGCATGATCAAGTGTTCTGGGATTCCCACTTTTCTCAGAGTCAGCCACAGTTTGTTATGGTCCACAGAGTCAAACGCCTTTGCATAATCAAAGAAGCACAGTTAGA